GGCAGTGCTGCTGTTTTAAAGTACCTCCTCCTCTCCATCCTCTTGCTGCCTCTTTCTGATAGAGCCAGCAAGGGTGGAAAGCGACTAGTTGACTGGTCCTTCACATCCCTACTACATTTTTTCTTTCATTTAGGACTTGCAGCAAATGGAATTGTTAGAATCTTGGCAGTTGCTTTGTAAACAGTTGCAAGGGGAAAAAAAAGTTCCAAGAAATAGTAGCTTGATTATATAACCAGGAAAAACCGAACTTAATATTCCAAAAAAAATGATTATACTCTTATTTTGAAAACTGCCACTTTTTTATCCAAATAAATGTCCATGGTACTTTGAATTCTTTAGACAACAACTGATGTTGGGGTCATAGCTGCGGTTGAAAGCAAGGCAGGGGTAGAGTTGTGAGCAGGGCTGGGTGGCACTCCCTTCTAATCTCCTGTGGGGGCTATGCTAGATCCCACCAGACTTCCCTGAACTTTCCTCTGCACTGTCCTATGGGGCATGCACCATAGATTGGGGACCATTGCCTTAGAACCATGGCATTTGTTGAAAAGATTTCTTAGAAAAGTTTGCTGAAATAATTTTTCAGGTGATGTTGACATTGTCACACATTCTTATTCTTTGTTAGTGTCACACTTACACTTTTCACAAGCACTGAGTTAAAAAAAAGAAATGCATATGAATAGGTTCTTTGACTTACAGTACAAGTTAACAATCCATTTCTTTTTTTAATCTGTAATTTAGTAGTTTAATCTGATATGGTCATTTTATATAAATTCTTGACACTTGAAATGAAGGTTATCAAATACATTTCCAATGAATGCATATTTAGTTTTGTCTGTTGAGTATTGAATATTAGTGAAAAGTATAGCTGCTGCAACTTCTGCAGTTTTTATTTTGAAGATCATGCAGAATTATTTTCCATACTTCAAGCTCTATATTTTAAATAGGGAAAAAACCCTTCCCTGATACCTGTATCAGTAATGCCCTTTTAAGCTTATAAAGCAATTTAAAAGTTATTTTTTCCTCTGCTCATTGTTAGTAACACACTTAAATACTTGAAAATAACACTTCTTCTTCCTAATCATTTAATTTTTTTCCATTTGGCAAACAGTAGCTTATGTTTTCCTCTGTATTTCTAAAAGGGCTGAAATTCACCATGGTTATTTTTCCTTACTTCTTTATTTATGCACTAGAAGTATGCATAATTCCAGCTGTAAGGCTCATAATTTCAGATTCAATAGGGCTCTTTTTTATGAATTATTAAATAATTGTAGCCTTAAAGAGAGCTTTTCAGAATGTTTCTAATGAGAGATGTATATGAAGAACTATGTGTGTGTGCCAAATATTGTGTTTATCAAGAAGTTGCTAATTAGTATAATTTTTGTTAATTTAGTGTGGATTAGGGATGTGAGTGGGTAACTGGTTAACAAGTTAACTGGTAAGCTTCACCCTTACTGATACAGAGGCAGCAGCATGGTGAGTGGGGTGAAGTGCATGTAATCAGGTACACTTTCACATCCCTAGTAAGCACCTACAGTATGCATTACATCCTAATTAAAGTTTGCACCCAAGAAACTAGCTATCTGTATAGGATGAAGATAAGAAATTCATTACAAAAAGGAAATGCATTTTACAGTAATAAGGCATTTGTTATAATACCAAATAACATTTTTATAGCAAAATTAAAGAAATGTGTATTACAGGGAAATAGAATGGACTAAAGTTTGACAGATTAGTTATAAGTTATTGGCTCTCACAGACAGAAGTTAAGTGGGTTACCACCAGGGGTGGGCAAAAGGGCCTCCACAGGCCGGATCTGGCCCGCCAAGCGTGTGGATCTGGCCTGTGGAGGTCTGCTGTTGCCGTGCCTCCAAGCCTCTTCCCGCCCTGCCAGGAGCACGTGGCACTTTGAAGTGCTGTGTGCTGCTCATAGGGTGGGGGGGGGAGAGCAGAGGAGGCTTTGCGCATACCCCTGCCTCATGGCCAATTAGGCCCTGGGGGCAGGGGAGCTGCATGAAGCTTCCTTCGCCTTGCCCAACCCTGTGAGGAGCCCACAGCACTTCAAAGTGCCATGAGCTTCTTGCAGGGTTGGAGGAAACTCGCCGTGATCCCCCCCCACTCCCAGGCCCCGATTGGCCCGGGGGTGGGGGGGGGGGCCACGCCCCTTCCA